AGTTAGCCTTTCTGACCGCATCCCCACATTGGCGGCCCATGTTCATTTTGGAATCAATAATGAAACCAAGATCCTTTTCTGCCTCTGTGCTGACTAGGAGGGAGTTCCCCAACCTGTATGTGTGCTGCTGGTTCTTCCTCCCTAGGTGCAGTACCTTGCACTTGTAAGTACTGAATCCCATCTTATTCTCATCCACCCACCCTTGTAACCTGTCTAGATCTAGTTGCAGCCTGTCCATCTCCTCCAGCATGCCCACTTCTCCCCACATCTTAATGTCATCCCTGAATTTGAACAAGGTGCTTTTGAACCCCTCGTCCAAGTCGCAGATGAAGATGTTGAACAGTGCAGGCCCGAGGATTGAGCCCCGTGGGACCCCACTGCCCACATCTCTCCAGGTCGAAAAAGACATATCCACCACCACTCTCTGCATACGGCCCTCCAGCCAATTTGCGACCCATCTGACTGTGTAGGCATCGATGCCACAGTCGCCTAATTTTTTAATGGAATGAGAGACAGTGTCGAAAGCCTTCCTAAAATCCAGAAGGACTACATCCACTACAACACCCGTGTCCAAGGATTTTGTGACCTGATCGTAGAAGGCCACCAGGTTGGTCTGACAGGACCTGCCTTGAATGAACCCATGTTGGTTCCCCCTAAGCATAATGTCCCCTGCTGGTCCCTCGCAGGTGTGTTCCTAGATAATTTTCTCAAAGAGCTTCCCCAAGACCGAGGTAAGACTAACAGGCCTGTAGTTTCCTGGGTCCTCCTTCCTCCCTTTTTTGAAAATGGGGACCACATTGGCCCTTTTCCAGTCCTCCAGCACCTCGCCAGAGCACCATGAGTGCTCGTAAAGCTGTGCCAGGGGTCCCACAATGACCTCTGCTAATTCCCTCAGCACTCTGGGGTGGAGATCATCAGGACCTGCTGATATGTACATGTCTAGTCCCACCAGAAGTTCCATGACTAGGTCTTCACTGACCCTGGGCCTGGCAGCGCCTCCCCTGGGTCCGTCAGGGATCCCAGTGGGGATGATGCCCTGGTCCTACTCAAAAAGATGGAGGCAAATAAATTGTTAAAGAGGTTAGTTTTGTCGTCTGGTGTGACCACCAGATTTCCTAGCGTATCCTGCAGAGGCCCTGCGTTAGCTGGTACCTTCTTTTTACCCACTATGTATTTAAAAAAGGACTTCTTGTTATCCTTGATCTGGGTCTCTAGTCCCAGTTCCATCTCCGCCTTAGCCTTCCTGACAGCCCTCCTACAGTCTTGAGCAATGGAGGTATAATCCTCCTTGGTGATGGCCTCTCCCTTCCATTGGGTGTACGCCTCCTTTTTAGCTTTGAGATGTTCCTGTATGCTCTTGGTGAGCCATGGGGGCTTTTGAGCACTCTTGCCCCCTTTGATCCGCGTTGGGATTGTCAACCTTTGGGCTTGGAGGATCATCTCCTTAAGGAACAACCACTCTTCCTGGACTCCCAACTCCCCTCCCCTCTGGGACCTCAGTGCCTCCCCACAGAAGCATGGGAGGCTCCCCAGCATGCTTGGCAGCAGACCCGGAAGTGGACCAGAAGCACTTCTGCC